CAACATCTGCCACATTGCCCCCCTATCCACCCTGTCATACGCCTTTTCCAAATCCATAAATGCCACAAAGACCTCTTTAGCCTTATCTAAATACTGTTCACTTATATGTTTCACTGTAAACACCTGGTCCACACACCCCCTCCCTTTTCCCTAAAGCCTCCTTGTTCATCTGCTATCCTATTCTCCGTCTTACTCTTAATTCTTTCAATTATAACTCTACCATACACTTTACCAGGTACACTCAACAGACTTATCCCCCTATAATTTTTGCACTCTCTTTTATCCCCTTTGCCTTTATACAAAGGAACTATGCATGCTCTCTGCCAATCCCTAGGTACCTTACCCTCTTCCATACATTTATTAAACAATTGCACCAACCACTCCAAAACTATATCCCACCTGCTTTTAACATTTCTATCTTTATCCCATCAATCCCGGCTGCCTTACCCCCTTTCATTTTACCTACTGCCTCCACGAACTTCCCCCACACTCACAACTGGCTCTTCCTCACTCCTACAAGATGTTATTCCTCCTTGCCCTATACACGAAATCACAGCTTCCCTATCTTCATCAACATTTAACAATTCCTCAAAATATTCCTTCCATCTTCCCAATACCTCTAACTCTCCTATTTAATAACTCTCCTCTTCCTATTTTTAACTGACAAATCCATTTGTTCTCTAGGCTTTCTTAACTTGTTAATCTCACTCCAAAACTTTTTCTTATTTTCAACAAAATTTGTTGATAACATCTCACCCACTCTCTCATTTGCTCTCTTTTTACATTGCTTCACCACTCTCTAACCTCTCTCTTTTCTCCATATACTCTTCCCTCCTTGCATCACTTCTACTTTGTAAAAACTTCTCATATGCTAACTTTTTCTCCCTTACTACCTCTTTACTCATCATTCCACCAATCGCTCCTCTTCCCTCCTGCACCCACTTTCCTGTAACCACAAACTTCTGCTGAACACTCTAACACTACATTTTTAAACCTACCCCATACCTCTTCGACCCCATTGCCTATGCTCTCATTAGCCCATCTATCCTCCAATAGCTGTTTATATCTTACCCTAACTGCCTCCTCTTTTTAGTTTAAAACCTTCACCTCTCTCTTCCCTGATGCTTCTATTCTCCTTGTATCCCATCTACCTTTTACTCTCAGTGTAGCTACAACTAGAAAGTGATCTGATAATCTGTGGCCCCTCTATAAACATGTACATTCTGAAGTCTACTCAACAGTCTTTTATCTACCAATACATAATCCAACAAACTACTGTCATTTCGCCCTACATCATATCGTGTATACTTATTTATCCTCTTTTTCTTAAAATATGTATTACCTATAACTAAACCCCTTTCTATACAAAGTTCAATCAAAGGGCTCCCATTATCATTTACACCTGGCACCCCAAACTTACCTACCACACCCTCTCTAAAAGTTTCTCCTACTTTAGCATTCAAGTCCCCTACCACAATTACTCTCTCACTTGGTTCAAAGGCTCCTATACTTTTCACTTAACATCTCCCAAAATCTCTCTCTCTCCTCTGCATTCCTCTCTTCTCCAGGTGCATACACGCTTATTATGACCCACTTCTCGCATCCAACCTTTACTTTAATCCACATAATTCTTGAATTTACACATTCATATTCTCTTTTCTCCTTCCATAACTGATCATTTAACATTACTGCTACCCCTTCCTTTGCTCTAACTCTCTCAGATACTCCAGATTTAATCCCCTTTATTTCCCCCCACTGAAACTCTCCTACCCCCTTCAGCTTTGTTTCGCTTAGGGCCAGGACATCCAACTTCTTTTCATTCATAACATCAGCAATCATCTGTTTCTTGTCATCCGCACTACATCCACGCACATTTAAGCAACCCAGTTTTATAAAGTTTTTCTTCTTCTCTTTTTTAGTAATTGTATACAGGAGAAGGGGTTACTAGCCCATTGCTCCCGGCATTTTAGTCGCCTCATACGACACGCATGGCTTACGGAGGAAAGATTCTTTTCCACTTCCCCATGGACAATAGAAGAAATAAAAAAGAACAAGAGCTATTTAGAAAAAAGGAGAAAAAACCTAGATGTATGTATATATATATATGCATGTGCGTGTCTGTGAAGTGTGACCAAAGTGTTAGTAGGAGTAGCAAGATATCCCTGTTATCTTAGCGTGTTTATGAGACAGAAAAAGAAACCAGCAATCCTACCATCATGCAAAACAATTACAGGTTTTTGTTTCACAGTCATCTGGCAGGACGGTAGTACTTCCCTGGGTGGTTGCTGTCTACCAAAACCCACTACATATACCAACCTACTACTAGTATATTATACATCATAAATAAATAAATAAATTAGTTTTTCCTAAGTAGTAGATTGGTAGACAGCAACCGCCCAGGGAGGTACTACCGTCCTGCCAAGTGAGTGTAAAACGAAAGCCTGTAATTGTTTTACATGATGGTAGGATTTCTGGTGTCATTTTTTCTGTCTCATGAACATGCAAGATTTCAGGTACATCTTGCTACTTCTACTTACACTTAGGTCACACTACACATACATGTACAAGCATATATATACAAACCCCTCTGGGTTTTCTTCTATTTTCTTTCTAGTTCTTGTTCTTGTTTATTTCCTCTTATCTCCATGGGGAAGTGGAGCAGAATCCTTCCTCCATAAGCCATGCGTGTTGTAAGAGGCAACTAAAATGCTGGGAGCAAGGGGCTAGTAACCCCTTCTCCTGTAAAATTACTAAATTTAAAAAGAGAAATTTTTGTTTTTCTTTTTGGGCCACCCCGCCTCGGTGGGATACGGCCGGTGTGTTGAAAGAAAGAAAGAAATTAGTTTTTCAAATTTTTGTGTTGGTTGAGTACTCAACACAAGCATACATGTTGTTAGGTAAGACACATATGCAACAGTTAGACAACTTTATTCCAAAATGTTTCGCCTACACAGTAGGCTTCTTCAGTCGAATACAGAAAGTAGGCAGGAACAGTAGAGATGTGAAGACGATGTAATCAGTCCATCACCCTTGTAGTCGTAGAATTTGAGGTTGTCAGTCCCTCGGCCTGGAGAAGTTCAGTTCCATAGTCAGGAACTATAGTTCCTGACTATGGAACTGAACTTCTCCAGGCCGAGGGACTGACAACCTCAAATTCTACGACTACAAGGGTGATGGACTGATTACATCGTCTTCACATCTCTACTGTTCTTGCCTACTTTCTGTATTCGACTGAAGAAGCCTACTGTGTAGGCGAAACATTTCGGAATAAAGTTGTCTACTGTTGCATATGTGTCTTACCTAACAACCTGTTGGTATTGTATACCATTTTGATGTTCACAAGCATACATACATGCAGGTAGGAAACATACATGTACAACACAAGCATACATACATGCAGGTTGAGGAACATACATGTGCAACACAAGCATAGATACATGCAGGTTGTGGGACACACATGTACAAGCACAGACAGTGTTAGTTCTTCACACTTATGCATAAACTAGGTACATATTATTTATTCCTTGTTCATTTGGTGTGTGCTAACAAATTTGGGAAGTGTACAGTAGTAGTGTATTCTCTTAACATTCACTCGTCATGACTTATGAAATCGTAATAACACAATGATGAACAAATCATGGAACGAGTGGAGTTTGAACTCATGGCTTACAAGTGATTTTTTTTGTTTAATGTTCAGTTTTTGCATCATTAAAAATTCTGCCAACATGTGTAGTGATTAATGTAGGTTGAACTTTAGTACAGTAATCACTATATATGACAATAAAATTTTTTGTTTTTTGCTATTGAGAAACACTTGAACAGACTCCTCTATTTGTAACTTACATAGAGTTTATTGTACTACAGTGGACCCTCGACCAACGATGGCATTGATTAACGATAAATCCGACTAGCGATACATTTTAACGCAAAATTTTTGCCTCGACTAGCACTAAAAAACTCGACCAACACTATTTGTTTCCATCAGACGCGTCTACTTCTGGCCAGTGTTTACAAGCCAGCCAGCCACACGGTCGCTTGCAAGCATACAATCGGAACATTTCATGTTATCACAGCCTTTTTAGTGATTGCACCTGCAAAATAAGTCACCATGGGCCCCAAGAAATCTTTTTGTGCCAACCCTACAGCAAAAAGGGTGAGAATTACTATGGATATGAAGAAAGAGATCATTGGTGAGTATGAAAGTGGAGTGCGTGTCTCCGAGCTGGCCAGGTTGTACACAAAACCCCAATCAACCATCGCTACTATTGTGGCCAAGAAAACGGCAATCAAGGAAGCTGTTCTTGCCAAAGGTGCAACTATGTTTTCGAGACTGAGATTGCAAGTACTCGAAGATGTTGAGAGACTGTTATTGGTGTGGATAAACAAAAAACAGATAGCAGGAGATAGCATCTCTCAAGCGATCATATGTGAAAAGGCTAGGAAGTTGCATGACGATTTAACGAAAAAAATGCCAGCAACTAGTGGTGATGTGAGTGAATTTAAGGCCAGCAAAGGTTGGTTTGAGAATTTAAAGGGAAGGGAAGTAACCCTGGAAAAGGACTTGCCACCTCAAGTCCTAATGGAAGGGGATTCCCCTTCTAAACACTAAGACCATCAACACTCTCCCCTCCTCCCATCCCAACAATCATCACCAGATCTTCAATAAAGGTAAGTGTCATGTAACTGTGCATGTCTTCTTCAGTTTGTGTGTATTAAAATTAATATTTCATGTGGTAAAAAAACAATTTTTTTTTTTCATACTTTGGGGTGTCCTACACGGATTAATTTGATTTCCATTATTTCTTATGGGGAAAATTAACTTGACTAACCATAATTTTGACTAACGATGAGCTCTCAGGAACGGATTAATAGCGTTTTGTCGTGGTCCACTGTACAAGACACAGTATTATACACGTTATGTTTTAAGGGGTTGTTGTATTTTCTGATAGGTCTTCCTAATAGATTTTAGTGGAAAATTTCATATGAATATCTTTCTTCAGGAAAACATCGAGTATGGTGATGTAGCTGATGAAATTGGTACTCCGGCTCCCTTAATTGCACTCATAGACAAAGCATCTTCCAACTGCGTTGTGCGAACCTCTCAGATTGACCTGAGGGAGAGTGACCGACGAGGACTGCTGTGGCTGCTAGATGAAGAGGCAATATTTCCCGGTGCATCTGACCAGTCCTTCTTGGAGAGACTCTATGCTCATTATGGAGATAGAGGTATGACCTTTATCATGTCTGTGTCCAGTGCTGAATCAACACACACTAATATTATCAAGTACTGAATCAGTGCACTGTAGTATTATCCAGTGCTGAATCAACACACTAATATTATCCAGTACTGAATCAGTGCACTGTAGTATTATCTAGTGCTGAATCAATGCACTGTATTTCCAGTGTTGAATCAATGTAATGTAATTCCAGTACCGAATCAGTGCAGTGTAATTCCATTGCTGAATCAGCACACTAATTCCAACAGTGAATCAGTGTAATGTAATTCCAGTACTGGATTAACACTGTAATTCCAGCACTGAATCAGTTCACTGTAATTCCAGTACTGAATTAACATGTGGTAATTTCAGTGCTGAATATTTTATTTTGATAGGTTTAAAGAAAGTGTTATTAGAAAAAAGTGTTATTAGAAAATAGTGTGTTATTAGAAAAGAAAGTGTTACTAGCTAATAATTGTTAGTGGACTTAGAGTAAGTTCATTTTGCATACAGTATTTATCAGATATTTGTAGTACAGTGTTATCAAATTCTGCCAGTCATTTAATATTTTTATATAAAGCATTTATACTGTATTTAAAGATAGGCTTATACATGTATTTTGTCAAAGTACTTGTAAGTGTTGTATTTTTCAGAGTACTCACAACTGTTGAAGAAAGGAGCGGCTGCAGACCAGTTCACACTACAGCACTTCCAGGGTACCAACCCTGTCACATACTCCATCCAACACTGGCTCAAGGCATCACGTGAGAACCCTGTCATGAGACAAGCTGCTGCACTCCTACAGGAATCCAACAAGTAAGCCACTTAAACTGACACTTCTCATGAGAATAAGTGCAGACAAGTGGAAGGCAGCCTCAGTAGGAGATGGTTGGCATGTTAAAATGAAAGTATTTTGGGGGATTTAACGTACTGTTGTCATTTAGATGATGTAACATTTTTAACCCTTTCGGTGTCCATGCCATTCTGTGGCTTTGTAGTCAGTGTAGGTCCCGTGCTGCTATGCCATGAGCTCAGCTCACTCATATAAGCTGTGAGCGGTAAATTTAGGCCTAGATATGAGAGAATGGGGCTATGTGGTAAGTGTGCACCATATAAAAAAAATCCTGCTACACACAGTGTATAATGAGAAAAAACTGTGTTTTTGGTTTAAAAAAGCTACTTTTTGGTGTATTTTCATATGGCTTTTATGGGTTTTATCATGGTTTCTTGGTTATTTGATAGAATGGAAATTTTTTGCGAAATAAAGATAATTTTTATTTGGTTTCCCCGGATATGCCCTTCATCAAATGCACTGACTTAATTTATACAATTATTAACAATAATGCATAGCAGTAAATTTTTTTTTTTTTATTTTGTGAATAAAAATTAAAAATGGAATTCATGTTAAAGCAAGAGAACTAATGAACAGGGGAAATGTTTACTTTAGTGCCAGTAATGCCTGCATTGTTTTATTTCTGGACCATATTTTGAAATTGAAATATTTGAAATTTTTGTGAAATTGGACAAGTTACCAATTTCTGAACACTTGAATTGGGTAATTGAAGCAGTTGATTGGTGGTTTCTTGTTTTGTTTTGTTACTCTTGAACATCACAAATCAAACATTTCTGCTACTTTGAGCTCAATTTTCAGCTACTTTCAGCTCCCCATGAAAGCAATCAAAATTATCTCTAGTTATGTAGTATAATCCTTCCATTCTGTGAAAATGAGACCGAGAAATCAAGAATACAACATAAACACCATACGAAAAACACTGTAAATTCACTGTTTTAATCCAAACACACAGTGCAGTGTTTTTTCCTCATATGCACTGCGTGCTGCAGGATTTTTTTATATTGTGCACACTTACTGGCATAAGACCCATTCTCTCATATCTAGCCCAACTTTAAACACCACTCAGCTTATCATGAGTGACCTTGAGCTCATGCATCATATTATGGGACCAACACTGGCTTCAAAGCCGTGATATAACGAGACTGACTCCGGAAAGGTTGAACGTCATCTAAAAGGTACTCTTCAAGCAGCACTGGACAAGCACCTAAAGCCAGTCCCTGACGCATCTGGGCTGTGGGTTCGTACGTTAGATTGTGTGCGGCCAGCAGTAACAGCCTGGTTGATCAAGCCTGACCATCCATGAGGCCCCTGGTCACAGAACCAGCCGCGGCGTTGAACCCGAACTCCCTCCAGGTAAACTCCAGGTAACTTAGTGGTAGCACCTTTGGACTAACAGTGAAGACCTGGTTTAATCCTTGGTGCATCAAGACACATTCACAAATCTGTTTAATGCCTGTTGCCTCTCTTCACTTTGGCAATAAATGGGCAACCTGGGCTTCATTACTGTTGCATGCATTCAGTAGATGGTAACATGCTGTAGATGTATGGCTGGGGTTTAAAGTGACAGTTGGCTGAAAACGTTCTTTTCTGGTAAATTCATCAGTGTTAAAAATAATCATAGTTTTTATGCACAGGATTATTCGTAGGGAATTCAACTAAAAAGTCTTTACCATGATTTACAGAGAAACTCTTAAGCAGACTACTTCGTGTTTAGTCGTGGTCCCAGTAAGCAAACACCATCAGTGTGGTCGTGGTAGGGGCATGTGAAGGCCTTCGGATCGCAGTCTTAAGAAGAGCCTCAATCAATCAGAAGAGCTTTCACCACAGGCGCCAGCTTGCATTACGCGAAAGAGTGTCTGCTTGCAAGTTTTAAATTTACTGTAGTGAGTATTACACTCCTTAAACACAAGTGACCATATTGAACTCCCAGTAATTCACTCCTCGGGTTTATTGACCAGCGGTAATTTGACTTCCTTGGTAAGTTTTACTTTGTCATTTCTTTAGAGTGCAGGCACTATAACATTCCACTTCGCAGGACTTAAGCCCACATATAATAACGCTTCAACTGCCGCAGTGTATAATGTATTGTCTTTTACAGGTGCCGGTTTGTACGTATATATCTCATAAATTCCAGGGCTCGCTTCAAATCAAGAAGGAGAAAGCTGTAGTTCACAACATGTTGGAGAGAATGGGTCTGTGTGGTCAGTGTGCACCATATAAAAAAAATCCTGGAGACACGCAGTGCATAATGAGAAAAAAAAAAACTCGGACCGATTTTTTTTTTTAATTAAAATGCCGACTTTGTGGTCTATTTTATTATAGTATTTATGGTTGTATTCTCGTTTTTCTGTCTCAGATGATAGAATGGAAAACATATATAGAAATAGAGGTGATTTGAATTGATTTTACATTAAAATAAAAAAAAGAACCTGAAATGGAGCTCAAAGTAGGGGGAAACGTTTGATTTTTGCTGATGTTCAAAAGTAAACAATGATGTCATTGTCCAATAAATGTCCAAACTACCATTCTAATATGCAGTTCAATGAATGGGTTGATGTTATTTATAGCAAATTATTACAGTATGCAGTAGTCTGCATAATAGTAAAATTCTTCTGTGTTTTTTTGATTGAATAAAAATTCAAAATAGAAAGCAAGAGTAATATCAGAGGGGCCTGTGAGACATGACTGAATGAACAAAGAAAAAAAATGTTATTTTAGACACCGAATAATGGTCAGCATTGCTTCACGCACTCTTATTTTGAAATTGTCATATTTTTAGTTTTCGTGAAATTGGCAAATTGCAAATTTTCTGACCACGTTATTGGGTAGTTAAATTGTAAATTGCAGTTTCTTGTACTCTAATCGATAGAAGAAATGAATTCTGAAGAAATAAGCTCTACGAGTTTTGGTCGACTGGTACAGTGGAATTAGTTGAAAATAGGGCTACAAAGTGGGCAAAATCGCCAGATTTGTAAATATCGCCGACTCTCTAACTTCGCGAAATGGTAATTCGTCATTCTCCATCAAATTTGGTATTTGGTGTCATTACAAATCGGGGATAAAGATTTCTCTATGCATTTCATAAAATTTTTTTTTTTTTTTTTTTTTTTTTGAAATTTTTGTGACACAGGAAACACCTCAAGATTGGGGTTGGCGACAGTCAAGGGTTAAGATGTAGTGTTTTATATTGCATGAAATTACCTATCAGAGCCCTAATTTCTGGAAGTCTTATTACCTCAAACCTTAAATATAGATGTATTGTTATAATGCTATTTTGTTAATAAAACTGAGCTTTTTCCACTATGAAAGTGTAATACTGTTATAAGTAGGATTACCTCTCCTGGGCCTTCAAATGAGTGTAAGCAGGACCTACCTAGCCGACCTGTAGGCCGTACTGTAGTGCTTATCTATTATTATCTGTTTATAGCATATACTGTAGTCAAGTATAACATAGCAGTTGTTCTTATGGTTTTTTCAATATAAAACTTATTGTAAAATAGAGAATAAGAGTATAAATGTTCATTGTTATTACAGGATGGCATCATCGAGAACTTACGACGAACTAAACTGAGTTTTGTGCACGCTTGTATACCTTACCGCAGCACAACGCTGGCTTGTGTGACCTCAATAAGGCTTCCCTCATGAGCCCAATATTACCAATATTTCTAGTGGAAGATATTCTTCTTAATGTGGGCTCTCGTCGCTCTCCAGGTACTCCACTTTAACTCTTCTTCAGGTATGTCTTCCTCTAACTCTCTCAGTATGTCTACTCTAACTTTAAAAAACTCTTTTCAGAAAATTGGCACTGTACTTATACACATTGTTGAAATAATATAGAAAGGCAAATTGCCATAGTATAACAAACCTCAATATAGAGTGTTCCTGATAGAACAAACATCAGTTGTTAACAGACCTCAATATAACGAAACTTTGGCTATAGGCTATATCTCAGTATAAGTGGATTCATGCAATAACAATGTTTATTATAGGATGAAGAAGAGCAGGTTGTGAGTTGTAGGGGAGGTGTGCGAGGCATACAGAATGAAAGAGGGTTAAAGCACTGCGGAACTGACGGGATCATGACAGAACTGTTAAAAGCAGGGGGGAATATAGTGTTAGAGTGGTTGGTATTTTTGTTAATAAATGTATGAAAAAGGGGAGAAGGTACCTAGGGATTTGCAGAGAGCAATGTATAGTTCTTTATTGTAAAGGGAAGGGGGACAAAAGAGATTGTACAAAATTATAGGGGGGGGAGGAGGAATTAGTTTACTGAGTATACCAGGAAAAGTGTACGGTAGGGTTATTGTTGAAAGAATTAAGGTAAGACAGAATGTAGAATTTGCAGATGAGCAAGGAGATTGTAGAGTGGGTAGGGATGTGTAGATCAAGTGTTACATTGAAGCATACATGTGATCAGATTTAAGATAAAGGTAGGGAAACTTTTCATTGCATTTTATGATTTAGAAAAGGATATATGATAGAGTGGAATATGGGAGCAATGTGGCAATGTTGCAAGTAGTATATGGAATATGTAGTAAGATACTAAATGCTGTAAAGAGTTTTTATGACGATAAGTGAGGCTCAGGTTAGGTGTGTAGAAGAGAGGTAGACTGACTTCCTGGTAAAAGTAGGTCTTAGGACTGGGATGTGTAATGCAACCATGGTTGTTTAATATATTTATAGATGGGGTTGTAAAAGAAGTAAATGCTAGGGTGTTTCGGAGAAAGGGGTAGGGATTAAAATTATGGGGAATCAAATACAGAATGGGAATTGCGCACAGTAACTTTTTGCTGATGATGACTGTGCTTATGGGAGACTTATAAAGAAAAATTGCAAAGGTTAAGTGAATGTGTTTTGGGAGTGTGTGTAAAGGTAGAAAGTGAAAGGAACATAGAAAAGAGTAAGGTGATAGGGCATCAACTTGATTTAGATAAAGAAAAATTGGATATCAAATTGGAGAGAAAAAGTATGGAAGA